CCCCCGAATCAATTCGACTACTACCCCTGACATGCAAAAAACAGACAAAATCAGAAGCGGAATCTTTTTTTTTTTTGGACAATCCTTGAATATCTAGTACAAAAGTTAACCATTCCTGCCAGCGCTTGATACCAACTCGTTCTCGCGAATGAAAAATTGCGTTGAAAGACAAGTGGGCCGGACATGGGTGTTAAGGTTTTTTTTCAGTTTTTAGTAAGAGTTTTACGGCACTTGCAACACAATAAGGTTATATAAGTGCCGAAGTTTTACAAGAGAGTAACAAACACAAAATAGAAGGAGAGGAGATCAGGACGATAAATGTTTCATAGGAAAGAAGGAGCAAACCACACCAGAGCACCCGCCGACCGCCCACACATGGGTGCTGAAAGGGGGAAAAAAAGAAGAAGCAGAAACCCTTTTTGTGCTGTAATGAAAGTGGCTATCCCGCCACATCACCTGAGCTCCGGCAAAAACAAGAGTTGGTATTTAATAGGCTGTTTAACTCAGGTTTTTGACAGAAATCATCTCTTAGCTGATATGGCACGTTGGCAGGAACAAAATTAATTTCTTTGAGTATTAATTTACTAGCACCCTACCTCACGTAAAATGTCACGTACTGAATGCTTGTAACAAATGCCCATCAACTTAATGATAATCTACTTCTGTCGTCCCTTCTCACAGAGAAATGAGCTGGAGGTTATCATTGGTGTAAATGACATCGCCTAATTATTACTTACGAGTTATGGCAAGATGACGAAGCGTGGGTGATTTTTGCTGAGTTTAGAGTGACGGTTCCACCGCTCACTTCTGGATACCACTTGTTTTTTAAAACTCCTCTCGTGCTATGCATGGATATGGCTGACCTCTTTGGGGTACTTTTAAAAAGGAGGAATAACTTCCTTATTTATACATTTCAATTCCGTTTCTCGTTATCTTAAACTTTAAAAAGGCAGGCAACAATATGCATGCTATGAAATATACAAATTTTTGTTTCTGATTTGTGTATCATGGTTCGGAATGTGCAGAATCTTCGGCTTTGGCTTGATCGGACGTATGTATGTATGTATAGTATAAGGTTTTACGGCGCTCGCAACTGCTAAGGTCATATGACGTATGTCCGATGCATCGTATGTTGTCCGAAAGGACCAAGCTAAATAGAATGTGTGCAGTAAAATTCTTCTAAACAGCCTGGAATATTCAGTATCATCTCTTTAACGTATCTTTAGTCTTCAAGCACAAGGCATGAGCCCTTGATTTGAGAACATGTCTCTCAAAATCAATTGAGACAGTTGGATTTTGTTTCTAAAATTTGATACTGACACGCACCGTCCTTTGTGCACTTTCTTGCCAGAAATGACTTCTATTTGGGGGGGGGGGCGGCAGGGAGATGGTCCTGTTTTGGACTTGAGCAGAATAATGGGTCAAAATATCGTTTTTGAGGATTTTGTACTATGGAATACCTGAGAATGTCTCTAAACATCAAATCTGATATAAAAATCTACGTAGTTTTGCTGAAATATTATTACAATGTCTTTGAAATTGGGTTTCTCAAGGACATCATGCCACGAAAAGCTTAGGATCTCAATTAGATCACATTTTCACATTTTTAAATTAATATTTTTTTTTTCGGATTTTTTTTT